ATGCACGGTTTCAGTGCCGGTAAACAGCGACGTTGTGTACATCGCATTACTAGAGATTAGAGATGCACCGACTGTATCAGCTGATGCAGCAAAAATCGGGCATCAGCCAGTTCATACAGAACGCGAAAATTAGCCAATATTTACCGCCGATAATTCCCTTTAAAATAGTGACCCATAACGCTTTGCACACCCACGTACTAAGCAGTCAGAAAAATGTCTGCCGGTTGGAATTATTTTAACATTGCTAGAAAGTAATTTTTGGCCTTTTTTTTTGGCTAACAGGGAGTCTCTACTAAAACATTTCAAGCCAAACAAATGTGATTGGTCACCTTAAGGGGAGACAGTGAAGAGCGTGAAGAGTGTCTGAAAAACAAATCCGTTCCAGTGCAGAAGGCTGCAGTGCTGCTGAATAACACGAGTCTGTCAGTAACACAAGCGTTTGACTGCAAAAGAACATTCAGTGCAGATGGTGCAAAATCAAAAGATATTACTCAGAGTTTATCACACGTGATCAAACCTTCTCTGTTATAAATATATAAGATGTATAGAGTTATAGTTTAATGCTCTGGGACTGTTGTTGTATGCCAGAGTTGGTGTTCTCTTACCAAAAATAAATACTTTTACTTTTCTAATTTTTGGAATGTAATTTTAAAATTTATTTTGGTGGAGTGTCCCTTTAAACTTATTTAAGCAGAACCTCCCAAACATCCGGTTCCGGTGCCAGTTTAAATAACCAGCTATCAGTATGGGCCAGAAAGTTCCTTATCGGTGCATCACTAGTTTGTGGCAGTAAATTGAGGATATATGGCAATACCAGCCCACCGCTGCCGCTTCACATGCCAGGGCTGCAGGTTCGAATCCTGCCCTGCTCTGTGTGCGAGTTTGCATGCTTCCTCTTGCAGTCCATAGATATTTAGACTAACTCTTGTCTCTAGAACCCCGTGACGGACTGGCATCCTGTCTGGGGTGTTACTGTGCATCGTGCCCTTGGACTGGATAAGTGGCTGGAAGATGGATGGTGACGCATTGGGTGGGGGGGGGGCGAAGGTACACGCTCCTAAACAGGAGTAGAACTGGTGTCACCTTCACCGAACGGTGACGTAAACTCACACATATAAAAACAGGCCTACTTACACTGTGAGACTCAGCCGTCACACGCAAAGTACCGAAAGCTAGAAGTATCCACCAAAGATATTAATAATGAGGACGAATCGCTAAACGGAAACACATGGGCGTCCTGCCATGCTCACGTTTACAGACGGAGACGGAGCCGCATCGGCACACCGGCGGGCGGCGGGGCTGAGTCGGCACCTGTTACCGGCAGCGGCGCTTGCAGACATCTGCCGCGGGCCAGACGCGGGGGGGTCTGCCGGTGCACCAAAGTCACTTTTCATAATTATTAAATTACGCCGCTCGCGGCCCATTAAAGGGGCCATTTCCCTCCTGGCCACCTGCTCTCCTCCTCTAACTCGGATTTGCACCATCAATCTTTTGGCCTCGCCGCGGAAGCTAAAAGCTTTCTGACGGCACTATAATAGGGGACATTGCGGGGTCAGGCGGGGGCCCGTGTGCCCGCCGACGGCTCGGAACACGGGGTCACGCTGTCCGGACGCCTGCCAACAGGTCACCTCCCGCAGATCAGGAGGACAAGCGGGGTGAAGGTGTGGGGAGCGGGGGCCGGGATCGCCGACGCCGGGGGGCCTCAGGCACAGAGGAGCGGCACGCTGACCCTGACCGGCCAGCGGCTCTGACACGGGTCTGTCCTCAGAGACGTGCCACCAGGGGCCCGTCAGGGTGATGCCTTGCTGTCTGTGACCAGATCCGACGGACGGGATCAGGAGGAAGTAAACTATACTGGTACCATTCATTTCATAACCTTCATATCCAGGAAAAAAGCTATTGTGGCCAATATAGTGTGGCAGGAGTGATTCGGCCAACCATGACGTAGCAGGAGAGATTTGGCAATTATTTACAAATACGCAAAAAATATTTATCTGTTTAAACATTTAGCATTTTAATGTATTTCTTAATATTAATATTATTATTATTGTTGTTTCGAAAATACGCAGCAAATAAAATATTTATGTAAATCTTTCTGTTGTCATCTCAAGGACAATCCTCATCCCAGTGTTCTGCTGGTAATTATTAACTGGTAAACTGTTCAGTCTTTTTACAGTACAACACTGAAAATATGGGCTGTACATGGAGACTTTGCAATAGGAGAATGAACGAAATACGTCATCTTTGTGTAAGTATACGATGTATCTAATGCCGGTGATTAGTTTTCTCAGACGTGGACCCGTCTGCCAGCCCAGAAGGACAATTCCTGTTCTGTAGCGCTGTTCACTTCTCCTTAGCGTTAATACAGGCCTAGATCATTAACCAATTCGCATAACCGCGTCTATTTTTCCATCTCTGAGAGCTCGCACGCTTCGCCTTACTTAACACGGCGATTATGCGCGCGGCAGTGGCGAGCGCACAGCCATCTTAATCGCATCTTGAACTCCTCAGCCTCCTCCTCTCCTTTCCGCGACCGGAGCTCGCATCCGCTTAACGTCCGCTAATCGCATTAGCGCGCAGCTAAATGGCCCTCATGGTGGCGCCGGGGGATGGTACGTACAGGCCAGCCTGAGGCATGTCAGGGCCGCTGCGGGAAAAGTCATCCGCCGCTCCGCCGGGCTCGGCCGACGGAGGAGGGAGAGCCAGGGACAGGTGCATTTCTCCGCAAATTGGGTTAGCCCCGAGACGCCACGTCCAATACGGGCAAATTGATGTGAGGGGGTCTGCGATGTCCGCTGAGGGTCTTACAACAAAAGGTCAGTGTGGCCAGACAATGGCATCAATCTGCTCCCCGCTGCAGGGCTGCGGCGTCTCAGCTGGACTGGGGACCCGCCACAAACGTCACGGTAACGGGAGGAAGAGACAGAGTTCTCAAGTCACACCGGCACACGCGCTCAAATCCGGTTACCGTTATCGTGCAGATGTGTTTCCCTTAAACACATTATATTTCAGTTTATTTATTCAGTTTTTAAATGAGCAAAATCACCTCATTCATATGCAACATGTAAACATCCATCCATCTTCCAACTGCAAATCCTGATCAGGGTCACGGAGTGGCTTATACCCAAGTCCGGGGGCTGACACACCATCGACGGCGTGCCTACATCCCAGCGTACACTATGGACATCTTAGAGACACAATTAAGCTAATTGCGTATCTTTGGACTGCAAACTTGTAACATTTATTCATCATAGTAATGTCATATTTTTTTTTAAAATTCTCAGTTCTTAAGCGTGTTGCTTCAGGTTTCGACAGTCGCATCACAAACTGCACCCCCTTTCATAGTTTTACTGTTTTGTTGAAATACACGACGTGTAGAGGAAGTAATTGATAAGATATTCAGGGGTGACTCGGTGTTTATCGCACTACGTTTACTGCTACACACGATGCTGTTCTGTGTTTGAGAGGGTTAATTCTGGGGGAAAATACACAATGAAAACAGGAGAATGGACAGCTGGAGAGCAAACTGCAGAGCCCACGCTTAGATAACCTTGTTTCCACAAAACAGGATTAGGATGGGAAATACAGCGAAATAAAGGAATGACATTTGGAGATTTCGTCACAGTACTGACAGGTATATTTAGGCATTGCGCTCTCCAGCTCAGCCATCAGCAAACCACGAGTCACGCAGGTTCTGAGAGGCAGGGAAAAGAAAAACTTCATCAGTATATCCTGTTGTCTTCCCTGGCTTTCAAACACTTCAGTTTTAACTAAAACTGTGTATCGGTGCGCGGATGTCCCAAGAGGCTTTTCGGAGCAAAACACTAAAGCCGATTTACTCTCATTTGCGAGTCGGAGGACAGTTTGATGTATTTACTTCAACTCCAATAAGAAGCGTAATCTGCAATCTGCCATGACCGCCCCCACCCCCATGCAAACGTCACGATGAAAGTTTACCTGCAGTTTTTACAAAAAACACTGCAATGTTTTTCAGTGTGATTCAAACGTTTTTCCTTCTAAAGTCTTTATATTTTTATATTCAACATTAACTGAGATTTCTTACTTAAATTATTTGTGAAATAACATTTGAAAACAAATTATGAAAAAAATAATAGGCCTACTGTGAAGAACATTGCCCACGGCACTGTAGCACTGTATAGAAACGTGCTAAACGTGCAGTGCTCAGTGTGTTCGGCAAATGCTAACAGATCTAACATGAAACAGCTCACAACTGGTAACTGATATCTTTTAACATGTTTCTAGCAAACCTAGTGTTGACTTAAGATTGAAAACTGTATGGAGAATGGAGAATGTGAATGGAGAATACTGTATGCTGTGAATAATCAAAATTAAAACAAATCAAACAACTAAAACCATGCTGAAATGTATTTTTTATTCGTTTTACATAGTAATTACGAAGATAAGGGATTCAATTTTTGTTAAAACTTACAAGAAAAACTCAAGTTTAAATTCAAAAACGAAAACGTCCAACAACAATGATATTGCCCTCTACATTTTTGTGGAGCTGAATACAAAAGACGTGTGGTTTAGGAAGGTCAAGCAGGGTGGACTAATACAGAAACAGGGCCGTTAGAATAATCCAACAGGCTTGTTTAATTTCTCATTTCCGACTAATTTCAGGACGGCAGCAGAAGCGTGACACGCCGCTACTGCGGGAGCACGACGGGGGTCCCATTAAAAAATGCTCCATCATACTCGGCATAATGCCGCCATTAATCCCTTAAATGCAATAACAGATGCACAAATGCGTGCCGTTCCTTGATAATGCACTTGAGCAGGATCCGCTGCCAACATGCCGCAAAGGAGGGCGGCTGAAATGCCTGCGGGGGCCGCGCGTGTTTAAGCACGAAGGCTAGTTAATGCCACTGACCGTGACCCCCCCCCCGGCAGATCTCCGGCGGAACAACCGAAATACGAGAATGAAGCTAATAATATAGGAATAATAATACTGAAAGAAAGATGACTGGAAGGGGCAGGAAACGCCCCGGCAGTCTTGCAGTTAACGGGATAATCCCAATACGGCGCACCGTGTAGCAGAGCCGCCCCTCGGCGCCCTAATATCAGCAGCACTTCGGCATAATTGAGAATGCCAAGCTGTGTTATGAGAGGATGTTTTCATCTTAGTCTAAGTGCCCCGAAATAATCACATCCCGAAACCTCGTGCGAGACCGCAGACACTGCGCGTCCTTCGCAGCGGGGAAATCAAAGCGCCTCCATGTTAAACGGCACGGGAAGAAACGATGACAAGAAGCTCCGTTAAGAATTCAATTTTATCTCATTTTGAACAATTTTATGAATCTGATTCACGAATACTGGCGAGAGATTTAATGATTACATATTTTGAAAATCTTATTTCGGCGTGGTCGATGGCATTTGCCTTCCGTTAATGGCAACTGAGAGATAGGAGTAATTTAGTAATTGCTTCTAAGCACGGCATCTCGCCGGGTCCAGGGACTGATATTGAGGGTAATATGTTTGCTAATTTTATCCCCACGAAATGAGATTATTATGATAATCCCTCTTTCCGTGGCTGGGGTTTTGGTCACTGGGGAGGACCTGAAGTCGTATGACTTAGGCTAGACGACGGGAAACCGGACGATGACATGCCGTCAGTCAACCGGGCAGAACCGGTGCCTTCCAATGGACATGAAAAGCACTGAGCTCTGAGGAAGCGGCCTGTATCTTACCGGAATGAAGCCTTCAGATAGACATGCAGTATGCAGCCTATTTATAGCGATATTATTCATCCTTGTAATCTCAATTAAACTGTACGGCGTATGAATAAATATCGGGCTCAGTGGGTCACAACTCCAGGGCTGGGGATCGGAACCCCTGGATCGGTATGTCGATACTGCCCGCAGCATGTGACTGTGTGTTTATGCCCTGCGACGGATGAGCATCCCGCTGCTGCTCTGTGCCACCTGCTATACCTACAGATCCCACCACCCCGTCCATCTTATTGGCGGCCAGAAGACGAGGAAATAGCTGTTCGTTAAAGTGCCATCATTATGACATAATTGCTGTAATTGTAAACGAAATACGAACAATTACACATCGACGGATAGACAAAACAATATTGCCTTTATTAAATGTTACATGGGCCTAATAAAATCCATATTTAATTACACCGTAAAGAGATAAGAGATATTATAGGACTGAGCTGTTTTTGCGTATTTCTCACAACCATAGTAGATAGCTTATAGTTCATTTTCTATACATTATAGGTCTATATTAATATACATTATTAAAATTCTGTATATTAAATAATGTACATTGTGTATAATATCGTAGCAGGAAATGCATGATGCTTGCATGCATCTTGCACGTTAATAGTCGCAGTTTATTTTATTTTTTTAGAAACCAGGGATTCCTAATTTTCATCATTTTAGACAGAAAACGCTAAATAATTCCCGCCTGTATGTTTTTTCGCTTCTGCCCCTGTTTGCGCAGTATGTGATGCATTTAAACTGGCATTTTCCTGTTCCCTCCCTTCGTTTATATCTGCGGCCGAACAAATTGTATTCCAAAGATGGAGAAATATTTTTCCTCATTTAACGTCCTTTCCCCCCCCCATTTGTGTACCACTTGGAAACCGAAAATTTGCGTCTCGTTATTCTGATTCTTGGGGAAAACGTTATATGTTAGTAAAATCATTTGTGAGATTGTTACATTTACTGCGCGCTCAGTTTAATTTAATGACATGCTGGCAATAAAATGTAGGCCCACGATATAAATTTAGGACAGAAGGTAAATTAATACGCGTTATCAAATCGTGTAAATGATATGCGACTGTACAATGGAACGCTGGTATCAACAAGCGGCGCGTTATTTCCGAGACTAATTAATGATTTCTGACCGTGCAAAAGCTGAAATAGTCACACTGCGCTATGCTACTAAAACAGTCCAACGAAGAGACCACTACACGTCCACAATGTTGTAGGCTCGGTTATTTTGAAATGTGTCATATACTAAGCTGTTTATTTAATTCGACAACATGAAAACATTAATTTGTGTTTACATATTCTAATGTATAAAACGCTCAGCCCTGTCAAAGGGACCGTTTCAATAACGGGCGTGCTATACCCACAGAAGAAAGCCTTGTTTGAATGAAAAAAGGGATAGTAACTGTAATTCTATTTGCCTCGGTAAACTATCAGAAGGGTTCTCTCCGTTCTTTGTGTATTATTGGATTAATTCTTATATGGTTTACATTTCCACTGCCAGGCGCGTGGGGGAGAGCCCCTGGACCAGTTGGTCTTTGGTTTCAATAATTAAATTAACCATTTGGTAGAATTTTTCGCCAGAACTCGCGTGTAAAGAGAGAGGGAGAGAAAAAAAAACATTTAGATAAAAGGGGCCGGGTTGTGTCAAAGAGCGAACTTTCCTGATGTTCACCTATATATATATTTTTTTTTAAGGCGAGATGAAAATAGATAAGAACCAAAGCTAAATATCAAGCGCAATGTAATTTATTAAAAATAGCACTTTCACCGAGTATTTGTCTTTTGAATTAGATATTAAATTTTAAATTTTTATTAGTATTTGTCATTCTTCACCATATTTCATAATATTGAAATGGATCCCAATCAATTGGTATTAAATTAGGTACTGATAAAGATATACCTCCTGCGTGCCTCTCGAATTAAATCCTAGGGGGTACAAAGAGTTACGGTACGAATGATGTTTTCAGAAGAGGAGATTGTATGTGTGGCTGGAGACCGAGAAACGAGCCGTTTAATCTTGAAAAATTTTATTTTCCGTCGCCAGACAGTGATCATCCATTTTCATCGTTGTTCGCGACCAAAAGGGTTAGGAATGAATGACCCCCTTTATTTGATCACATAATCTGTTATAAATGAGTGACACACTTCGTCTGATCAAATAATCAGTGCAAAACAAGTGTAGCAATAAAATCAGCGGAGACCATAACATATCATATCTACCGAGCATTAAAGCCCCCGTATTTGTCAGGACTGTTTTGGTAGCATTGGACATACTGCATTACAGTGATATTTTACGTTATATTTAAGTGCTCCAGAAGAGTAGAAAATATAAAGGATTAGACACCCTTTAAAACCCGAAGGAAAATAAGCGTCACTAAAATCAATACTGGTTTAAGTCAATTTCCGGTTCGAATTAAATAGTATATCAATGGTATCTAAAATAAAATAAAGTGCTTTATGGAACCAGATAAGTGTCCGCCAGCATTATATTGCTTTGATTATTAATATGTTTTCAGTATTTAAGAAAGTATTAAATTATTATAGATATTATATTAGACATATAATATGTTGTATAAAAAGGGTAGTATCTTTTGCTGGTACTTTTTCTGCACAAATACGCAAAACAAAACCTCTTTATGAGTCATACAAAATGTATATCGGCCTATTGATCAATAACTTTACACCCTTATCACCTCATGTCTGTATGCTTTTTAATAAATCACAAACTTATTATTACTTATTACATGTTACATTTATGCATCAAGGAGAAGCATCATTTAAATACTGAAGGAATTTATTGTCATTAATCATCAGTCAATATTGCTTTAAACATCATTTGGCGCAACATTCCTATTAACAATAAATGTATTAGAAAATATTTCATAGTATCACATTGTTCCCATTTCGGTTGTTTCTTATATCTTTAAAATATCTTACGTGCTTCAAGGACATTAGAATGGCGCTAAACAAGATCCGTAGCATTCCGATAGGAAAGGCAGCGCGCGAATTCAGCGCTCTTTATCCCAGGGAATAACAGAAAACAAGCACGGGAAAGGATTTCATCCAAGGTGGGCGCTCTTTTAAAAGCCTTAAGAGCCTGAGCAAAATTGGATCAGGGAGAATCGTCACCCAACTTTCATTATTTCCAAGCGGTGGGATTGAATTAAAGGGCAAGACGGTGGTTAGGAGAGAGGATGAGGGGGCCCAGCGCGTAATGGTGAGGTATTAAACTCTAATTAGGGATGCAGAGAATCAATGATAGCGGAGGTTGGACAGCTCGGTCCCCAGTGCCAGCCCAAATAGACGGATGAGTTATTGTCATGTAAAACGCGCCAGCGATAAGACCAAACGCTTTGCTATTGTCCAAGAGGAAAGAGACAAGTTTATTATGAGGAGTATATGCTCTAGAGGCCTCGGGCTAGGCGGTTCATAGACGGCTTTTCATAAAACAAGGCGCCGTTCCTATGAAGGAGGCCAGTTTTGAAGCAGGCGCTGAGCAGTGCACATCTACCTATACAATACGGCCGCTCTCAAATAAAAATAAACGTCTGTGTAGCTGCTCACTCTCAGTACGTTTCATTTATATACATCCGTCGCAATTTAAATCCAATTTTTGATCGAGCAGCTTTTTTCTATAACGCCGAGCTTTTTTCAATGTATAAAATGGAGTATTCTTACCTTAATTCCTCCGCCTACGAGTCGTGTATGGCCGGGATGGACACCTCGAGTCTGGCATCAGCCTATGCGGATTTCAGCTCCTGCAGTCAGACTGGGGGCTTCCAGTACAATCCGATAAGGACCACGTTTGGGGCCACCTCGGGCTGTCCTTCACTCACGCCGGGATCCTGCACTTTGGGGACACTGAGGGATCACCAGAGTAACCCCTATGCCGCAGGTAAGCCTCTGACATCTTTTTTCACCGCGCGAGAATCTCCGCTCCGGTATATAGGACGCTCTGATTATATTTGAAAATGGAAATGTGTTTAGTATTTACCAAACGAAGTTTGCTTACACAAATGAAAGGATTTATCACGTTAGAAGCGATTGCGGGCAAGCGGTAATTCAGTTACCCGGTTACACTACCCCAGTCACACCCGAACCGCCGACAAAATTATCTTAAGCTGCCAAAATGATAGGCATAATTTATTTACATTGTGATGAGACATAAAGCTTCGAAAATAATTGAATACCGAAAGACTAAAGCTCATTATTAAAGTTAGAGTCTCACCAGACATACCAGGGAGTATGACAACACTGTAATATGTCTGTGGAACTTCTATAAAAGGTTGATTCAATTAGGAATTTTACGATAAATAAGTTATTTCATTTAATTTGTCATTTAATTAAGGTATTTCAAAATAATAGTATACGTCTAACCATTTTGCAAAACTTATTTAGAAAGCACATAGTATGTGCTACAATTGAAAATGAGTTGAACATAAATATTTAAAAACTGCTACATATATTTTAAACAATCAAGTATAATATATAATTAAAAACACTTTTACAAGTTATTTAAGGATGCAAAGTTGGGAGATGCCTGCGTATCATCTACAATTAAACTAAAATATTTCAACAACTGATAGCAAATTGAGAGAAAATAATACAATTTAGCAAAAAGTATTTTATAGGAATCATTGTCTGTGTAAACACCACTGGGGAATTCTTCAAATCGTGGGTTTTCTTTCTTTTTCGTTTCAGTTCCCTACAAATTGTTCACGGATCACGGCGGCTTGAACGAGAAGCGCAAGCAGAGGCGCATCCGGACGACGTTCACGAGCGCGCAGCTCAAGGAACTGGAGCGCGTGTTCGCCGAAACGCACTACCCCGACATTTACACCAGGGAGGAGCTGGCGCTCAAGATCGACCTCACCGAGGCCAGAGTGCAGGTACAGCCCCGTCTAAGCTGCAGTTACCAAAGACAGCGAAACTGCGGACGAGTGCGGAATCGGGCCGCCCTGTGATTAAAAAGCTATCCGATGAGTCCCCAGAGAGGTCCTGCACCCCTGGGTAAAATATTTGCGCCAGTAAAACTATCGAGTTGTGAATAGAAATCATTGTGTTACAACTGGGTATTACAAAAATAGTTTAAATAATCATCAATTTATATCGATTAATTCAGTTTTAACGCAGCGATTATGAATTCAGACCCACTTCTGATTTTGCAGCGTATACTTTGTGTGTCTGTTGATTTTTAAACAACTTTGTGCGCTTTCTTTGCAAATTATGTTTCTTGTGCATCTAGGTGTGGTTTCAAAACAGACGCGCGAAGTTCCGCAAGCAGGAGCGGGCGGCAGCTGCGGCGGCCGCTGCGGCCAAGAACGGATCTTCTGGAAAGAAGTCGGACTCCAGGGATGATGACAACAAGGAACCGAAAGCTACTGATCCAGACAGCACGGGTGGCCCGGTACCGAATCCAAATCCTACCCCTAGCTGCGGAGGACCAAGTCCCACTGGAGGACAAGTAAACAGCGGCGGAAACGGCCCTGTGGAGCAAGTGAAGACGGCCGCTGCGGGCGTTTTGGGCGGCACCGCATCTAGCCAGGGATGGGCGCCTGGCCCGGGCACCATCACATCCATTCCGGACTCCTTAGGCGGCCCCTTTGCGAGCGTGCTGTCCTCGTTGCAGAGACAGAATGGAGCCAAAGCCGCTCTAGTAAAAACGGGCATGTTCTAGATGAAACGTCAAGCAGGAAAACGGGGGACGGTGCATCCGGAGCGATTCGCTTACAAGAAAGGGCGTCCGCACACACATCGCTGTGACCGAAGAGGAAGACGTGAATGGACCGGAACATTTGGCAATGTGGAGAAAATGTCTGTGTCTATTGAGAACAAGGCGGAACCCAAACATGTTGCTCCACAATATTTCATTCTAATCTCTGTGTTCTTGTCGAGGTGATGTGTCGGCACTTATTCGGGATCATGCAGCGAATTCCTGCTCCATTCTATCATGTTATCCTTCCATTTATTCTTGGAAAAACAGATTCTGTAACTCGGAGTTGAATTTTTTTGTCGATCGAGACATTTTTTCCTTTTTTATATAACGATTCAATTTTCTATATTGTAATTACTGTTTCGCTTGTTAAGACGGATTGATTTTTAAGTGTTACAATTAGCAGTTTAGTTTTGAGGGATATACTTCCTTAAAGGCACAAAAACACATCTCACTGTTGGCAGTAATACTTAAAGGTTTGTGCGTCTCTCTGCGGCTGTTTGTGTGGCTCGGTTGTAGTGTTGATACGTAATTGTCTCTATATTTGGTCCTAGGACATGCCCATTAGAAGTCTATGGAGAACCTGCAAAATTGCATCAGATACTATCACCTTACACAAAGTCGGGATACATTCGTTTGGGGAGAAAATAGAGTGGATTGACACAATGTATTTATTTAATTTCCATCTGCATGTTGCATCTTTATGTCTTATTCATTTTAAGTGGGCATTTTTAAGGTTTAGTCCAGATCTGAATTTTATTTATATGTAGGCAATGAATGCTTTAAAGGGCAATATTTCTACGAGTGCGTACAATTTCCCAGCGTTTCCCTGACCGGAAGCGTTGATAAAATGCTAAGGATGTAGTTAGCGCCGCCTTTTTATTTCCCAAGGTTCCTCCCGCAATGCGGACAAACTTCGTGGGGCTCTCGCCTGACTTCATCGGAGAATCACTCATTATATTTATTCGTAAAAAAAGGATAAACTTGAAATAAACACATGGCAATTGCACCAAGCTGTTTTTGAGATTACATTTTGATTCAATTAAATGAAATTGTAGAAGTTGTAGTGAACGTAGCAATAGTAAAATATCAATAGTGTAATATTCGAAAGAAATTAATATTCGATTCCAAAACATTGTTAACGCCGTTTTCTCCTTTAATGCGAACATGACATGGTGTGTATATAGCTTTATTGTGAAATGGGTGTGAATGCCCTATTACTTCACAATCTAATGCTTTTTGCGCTATGCTGCCCTCGTGTTTTCAATGTCGCAACAGCAGACTGTTTAACATTCTCCGGACTCTTAGCCGACATCAGAATGACCTGGGCAATTATTTAAAAGTGTTTTTACGATGCATATCCTTGGACACAGACCCGCTAGACAATTTCCCTTTTGCATTTACAAAGTTTGGACAAATAAAGACAAGACCGCTACATTTTGACAGTTTTATTTAGAAACATAAACATACATTTGCTATAAAAGTCATTGCATTACTAATAGTTATTTGACATTCAGATCGTATCTTAAGATGAGTATGATAATAAATACGCAATACAGCGGTTCTTATTCCGCCACGTACGCCATTTCAGATAACACCGGTCGCCAGAGCCCCTCCGCTAACGTTAGCTCATACTTTAGGATAGTACTGTAAATACTGTAACTTGTTTTATAGAAAAAAGGGTATGCATACATACAGAAGTAAACAACAGGCCTATATCATCAGAATGCGTATTAACAGCATAGATGTAAAATCAAGGAATTATTCTGAATGTAAAGGATTTTAAAGTTCATTAGACCCCTTCCTTTGGTATAATAATAATAATTATTATTATTAGGAGTACACTTGTATCGAACTATCTGTAAATCAGTCGGCGATTCACGGAACAGGGACCAGATTGTTCTTGCTACGACGTTTATATATGATGAATGCATTTAAAACGACGCAGCTCTGTTCTTTATGAAAAGATATTTTCCCAACGAAGCTGAAATAGACTTTTGCACGAGGTTTTTGCAGATAGTAAAAATCTAGTGTTAGCATGGAGGAAACGTTTGGGTAGCGACACAGTTCGACCGCTATATTGCTATACAGCACTGTTTTGCTGGGTCAACAGATGAAAAGAAAGATGAGACGTTTCATGTCTAATCTCATTAAAACCGAATAAGTATTATGATGTCGAAGCGAAAGTGCACACGCGTCAGGATACTATACCCACAAGCAGCTTCTGTAATCGCCCCTTATAAAGACACATTTATCTAGTCCAGAAAAGTCCAGCCAACGAAAAAACATCTTTGGATTTCATATCAAGACCCACCGCATGTACGTCTGCATTTCTAAGGCACGAGATCAACGCGACATTTGCAATTTCTAACCTAGTAGGACTACAATTTAGAAAGAACTGTGTGCATATAACAACATTACCCCTTACAATGGTAATGGACGTACAAACGTTTCATGTATTGTCTTCAGTTAATTGTACATAACTTAGAATTTCCAGCTTAACAAAAAATTAAAGCCGATTAACTGGGTCGTAAGAAAAAAAAAACGAAAACAAAAGTTCCAGCATTTAAAAACTGACGAATCATAGGTGACCTGAACACCAAACAGAAGCAGGTATTTCAGAGAGTCTCTCAATAACCTTTTTAGTTGGTGAGTGTTACAATCAAAACGCTTAGCGGACTTAAGGAAATGCAGGTCCGGGACTTCGGACGTTCTGCCATTAAAATTGCATATGTTTTCTCCCGATTAATCGCACAGAGCCATTTATCATGTGTAATGTGCTTGATAATTTCGCTCACTTTGATTTACAACGTCGGCAAAACGTGATATGACTAAAGAAAGGCAATTAGGTGAAGTTTTTTAAGTTTATATCATACATGTTTGTCAAAGCATGACGATAGTTGCTAGAATGCTTTGCAACTCCAGTCTCATTAAAACGCCCGGTACCCCTCGATCCCAATGAAATCGTGTGCTTATAAATATTGTGTTTAAATAATGCAATGCTTAGGTTTATATTAAATCAGAATATTATTATACCTATAACATACAGATGATTGGCAAACTCCTGTCTTATTATTTGAACGCTACTACACGATTTTAAGTGGAATTCTGCTGCACTGAAACAAGTCACTTTACGTCATAATAATTATACAGTGAACTGCTTTACATCTGGAGTGTAATTAAAAAAAACACAGTGTCAACAAAATAGCAAAATAGTCCAAAAGTCGGTGAAACAGGCATCAGCTACAGGGTCAGTAAACTCTTGCAGATAATTCGAAGGGGACACGCTTTCGGAACCAGGCTTGCACTTTTTAACAATGGTTAATGCAAGTTTCTCAATGCTCAATGACCACGAACATGTGCCAATTGACTTGAAAGAAAGAAAAAATCAATATTCCCAAAAATTCTCCCACTGTCCGAAGACAATTTTTTTGTCACAACGTGGTGGGTTGGCCAGCAACTGGAAATAAGACAAAAGGCATTTTCTTCCATCATCATCATCATCATCATCATCATCATCATCATCATCATCATCATTATTATTATTATTATTATTATTATTATTATTATTGCAACTACTTTTTGGTCATGTTTTAGACCCATAAAAATCACTAAAGCTCATATTTAAATTTACCCCACTGTGACGTATTTGTATGTTCATATTTACGCGCCTGCTTGCGCGTTAAATATTAATGATGAATTCTCCATACATGCGCGTTCCCGATTCGGGGTAGCGCCACTCACCACGGGACCCGATGTAGCACTGCTGGCAGGTCAGCAGGCCGTTGCGAATCCTCACGTCGGTGCCGGTGCTGGTGTCGCCCATCTGGCCCTTACACATCCCGCACTGCGGCGGAGACACCAAGAAAAGATGCAAAGTAAAAAGCCGTGTCAGCACCACTTACGTCACATCGGATATAACCGCGGGAACGACACTACACAAATAATCGAATGCGTATTTGGTACTAAATAATAAGATATATAAGAATTTGTCCAAAAGTATTTCCCCGCTAACTACTTTTGACATGTCTCCTAAAATAAAGTGTAACTGCAGAAACATTAAGACTGCTATCTGTTTGAATTACATCAAAAGTAGGAAATAGTATGAAAAGTTGCAATTTTCCTTATAAGAAAAGAAATTGCTTATTCTGTTATAGCCTATCACCTGCAACGGAAAACGACTCCAAATGCTTTTGTAATGTTGCACTTTTCCACTAACAATTTCCTAATTCTTCCCACAACCACATGTGCGTACTTCAATATATTATATATTCATGCTGAATTTCAAACGAAATGCCCACCAGCAGACAAATAATCTGAACTGCTGACGTCACACCAGCACGCGCTCACCTTGAAACAGCCGATGTGGAAGCAGAGGCTGAGCGTCTCGATGATCATGGCCGCTCCTCTGCCCAATGGCTGGTTACAGCTGGAGCAGAGTTTCTTACCACTCACCGACCTGCAGGGGGCAGTACAAGACGTTCCCGCTATCAGCGTCCCTGGTGTCCAGCTCTCCCACACATTGTTCCGCCATTATTAAGCATCACTGTAACCATTAAAGTTCTTGAACGTCAGAGGTTTACTCTTAGAAGCAAACCATAATTTCACCCTGTAGCCACAACATCACTTTAGTGGAGATCTTCATAAGCACATGCATGGGAAATCTGATTAACTTTCTGCTAAATTACAACAGTGCCACACTGGAATCGGTGAGGTCATACCTGTTAGCGACTGGTGATTGGACATCTGATGGCCAGGAAGACGAGTAGTTAGTCTCCACCTGTTGGTAAGAATCGGTCCTGGAAAAAAACCAAGCTCAATGTCCACAATCGAGAAGAGACAAGGCTGCGTTCAGGGTGAACAGAAGCTATAGAAGAGCTGTGCTGGGAGGCATGGACATAGTCCAGGTGACCATGATTCTCCAGAGGAGCCAGAGCTCTCCAATAAAAGCACTGATAAAAACAGCTTCAAATGTGAGGTGACAGTCGGAATAACACAGTGGTGCAATCGCCTCACACCTCTGGGATCAGGGCTGCATCCCCCACCCCGCCTCTACATGTATGGAGTTTGCACGTTGTCCCACAGTTGCCCTGGGGTTTCCCCCCCGACAGTCCAAAAAAGGTGCAGTTGCCAAAATTGTCTGTAGATGTGTGAGACGTGTGTGTAAGGTATGTGAGACGTGTGTGTAAGGTGTGTGAGACGTGTGTGTAAGGTGTGTGAGACGTGTGTGTAAGGTGTGTGAGACGTGTGTGTAAGGTGTGTGCTCCGCGATGGGCTGGCGCCCCATCCTGGGGTATTTCCTGCTTTGTGCTTGTAGCCTCAGGGATAGATCCCGGATCCCCATGACCTTGCTCAGGTCAAGTGGATACAGAAAATGGAAAGACGGATGGAGGTGAAATTGTGACACCATGTGGCTAATGTGTGCACTGCAATAGTAAACTCCTTGAAAAGGGCTGCAGCTCGCATCTTACACACTTGACGTGTGTGTTTCTCTCTCAGACAAATGCACATATGCACATGCACACACGCACACATATATATACACACACACACACACACACACACACACACACACATACACACACACACACACCTCTTAATCCCTGTGGCCAGAGATTGCTGGCAGCTCCAGCTGTGTTCTAGCGATGTTCTGTTACTCCATGGCTCCTCCATTTCTTGCTTCTGGCTGACACATAATGAACCTAGAACAGAAGCCAACACACCGGCTACAGAAAGTTCTCGATACAGGTTCCAGTATCTTCTGGGTAACCATAGTAGAACAGAGATAATGACACCTTCCCACGGCTGCCATCACTCGCCCTCCAGCTACCCCACCCACAGGCAGCAATGGTTCCTCACCCCTGGGAACCAGCATCTCGGTCGTTCCAGGTGGACCCAGGTCCCTGGGCTGCGTTTGGCCGTTCTGCTGAACCTGTCCGATGGCTGCTGGATGGCTGGAGCAGGACACCCATGAACTGCTAGGGGGCCCAAAAACAACATATATAACATATGATATCAAACAACTACAGACCAGCAATGAAGGTCTAATAGAGCAGATAGACAATAGTCACCGTCTGATTGTTTTATACAATGTGGATGTGTGATACGTATATAAAAGCTGCAGAAATGTGTGTCAGTACAAGGACTGTTTGCACTAATACAGGATACACAGACCTTCCCAGTGGTTTTGCACAAGACTCCATCTGCATCTTCTGTTCTGTCACAACATCGCTTCTCTCATTTGTAAGAAGGTTCTCATGGTCTTCGCCCTTCTGTGTGCAAAATATGCGTTTACTCTCGGTGACCTCGTGTGGCGATCCTTCTGGACCGTTTCATCAGACCCACTTCTATGGAGCTTAATTTCTGCAGTTTGATTGTCAGGTATGATCCTCGTTTAAGCCTCGGTTTCCTCATTTCCACATCTCATATCGAGCAGATCGCTGAATGTTAAATGTAATCCAGATACACACAAGCGGTAATAATAGATGCATAAGGAATTACACCCCCACCCAGCCAGGACCCACCCACCCTCTGTCTCTCCAGCAGTTCCTGCTTCCGCTCCCAGTCGGCCAGTGAGCGCACAATGGGCAGAGCTGGCTCCCCAGGACGGGGGGAGGTCACGGCGGATGAACGGGGCATCAGTGGCACCACAGTCTCCTCCAGGATCTTCCGCTCCTGAGGAGCAACAGAATCAGAGCACTTCTGTGTCTCTAGTGCATCAATCATCACATCATTCTGCTGACCTGTATTGGAGTACATGCCCTTCCATCCAGTTATGTATCTGCCATAAAATTTGGTCCCTTTTAAGACAGACGAAAACCCCTTTTATTTGTTTCTAGATCAGGGAACTAGTGATGGACAAAATCCTGCTTCATGAACCATTTGCTGCATTTTTTTGACCCCACTAGATGGCGATCTTGGTTTTGCTTTGGAGCATGCTTTGTGCCCTTTTTTGAGCAGAGAGCACCACCTAGTGGGGTGAAATAATACAGCAAATGGTTCATGAAGTGTCATTCTGTCCATCACTGCAGGGAACCTAGGTCCTAGTAAGCTTAAGTTGTACCTTAGCCTTCAAGGATTCAGGCTAATCATTCTTCTACATGGACTAATACCCTAGTCTCTTCCTAAACTGAGCTTAACAATTCAGACTGGAGGAAAGCCTGGTCAGATATTTCAAGTAAAATCTCTTCTTGCAAATCCCTTAGGATGAAAGATACAGGCATATAGTGGAGGCTTTGACCATCGTTTCAAAGCACGATCAATGAGAATCGTCTGGCCCCAGTAGGCCAGGGCGCTCACCTCTTCATGGTACCTACTCTCCTCCTCCTCCACCTCCCTCTGTGCTCTCTCCCAGTCCCGCTTCAGTTTCTCCTGCTGGAACCGGTACCTCTCCTGCTAGACAAAGGAGGTGTGTCACCACTGAGGCATAGGACAGAGGGTGGAGAGTTGAGGCAAGTGGCGATGTGGAGCATAAGCCAATGAATGCCCAGAATGACCCTGCAGGGTCTGACACAGCTTAGCCAATGGTAGTGATGTGGTTTTTCCTATTTATCACCCCTCATCCAAATACCACTGAAACCTGTAAGTCTGATCACTATAACGACACATAAAAAGACAACCGGTAATGTCACGTTTCATATTTATCCTTTTTATCTACCCGAATGAATATTATTTGAATTACTTTTTTGCACTTATTTTAAATAGATTATTGTAATCAGTATACAAGACATTTTCCATGTTTCCAGGATTCCTTCCAGCCCAGCCCTGATTAGTCACAGTAATGTTGTGGCTGACCAATCAAACACTTGCAGCCTTTGAAGTTGTGGCGGTGGTCATAGCTTACAGGGCTCAGTGAGACCACGACATGCGGACAGGGACAGGCATGACAAGTGACACTGGCTCCTGCTCTGGGTCAAAGTTCAAGGGGATGGCTGGACCACAAGGGTGTGATAAAAACTGAGGAGATGGGAATGCTGGGTAGTCAGATGAGCAGCATCGTTAAGCGGGGCGAGGAATGACCAGAGCCCTTGTGTAGCTCACCAGCCGAGGCATGCGGCTGGCGGGTGAGCCCTGAAGTGCCTCTAGGGGGCGACGTGGCTGCCGGCCCCACGTGAGGGCTCGTGTACCTGAAGCAGGCGCTCCTGCTCTCGCTGCCAACGTTCCTGACGTTTCCGCTCCTCTTCTGGGTCCCAAACCCAGCGGTCGACCCTCCCGGTCAGATTCAATGGGGGGAGCTGACAGAGCCCACCCACCCGTACGGCCAAAGGGGGGGGGGGAGGGCAACCGTTAGGGAGAACTGGCATTACTCCCCCTACATGGTGACCGTGCAGGTGAAAGGTCGAAAGAGCAGAGAGGATGATGGGAAGGGGGTTGTGTGTTTTTTTCACGGGGCGCCTAGAAAGTGACTAATTCTCAGTGCCATTTGCAGTATTTTTTTTATAGAAGCAGCAGTTGTTTTTTAAATTTAGGTTTGATCTGCTGATTATTGATTTTGTGGTTTAATTGCAAGTCTCAATGAAATCTCTGGAAAGACAGTGTCTAAGAGAACCCGTTCTGATGAACTTTCCTCAGCGTTAAACTGCAGTCATTCCACCCTTCTAATAATACATAGACTTATTATTACTAAATGCTTACTGTGTTACTGATTATGATGTTGATTAAAAGTAAAGAGTTTCAGCTAGACTGTGACTTGGAATGAATAAGGTGAATAAAGTAATTTTTCACACGATCCATGACGCTCTAAATGCTGGGAAAATTAACAGCCTGGCCTGCGTCTCTAGAAACAGGGAGAATCACAGTGATATAGTGGATCCCCACCCAGGAAACTCACATGGCCCACATGACTCTGGACTCTCTCCACGGCCTCTGCGAAGGAGGGAAAGTTAAAACTATGCATCATCCCAAGGTGCTGTGTTGTTTTATCGCATTTTTCTGTAAATAGACTCCATCAGTATTTGATGAAGTGTGACTGTACCTGGAGTGGGTTTTCCAAGGGCCCAGTCAGTTTTGACCGGCGGGATGTAGCTCTGAATGTGAGGGAACAGCTGGTCGCCTTTAGTTCCTTGGGCCGGTATCAGTTCCGCGTTTTCCGTCTGAGACTGGGGGAGAAAAGAGGTCGCCGGTGATGCCAGACAGGCAAAGCAGCTGCACAGGCGAGTTAACGGAACATAGTGAAGGCCTGACCCCTCGAGGTATGACTATGCGGCAATTATCGTATTTCACCCGGCAGCTGGGTCACTGATAGTAACGGACACTTCATGAACCGTTGGCTGTATTTTTTTTACCCCACTAGATGGCGCACTCTGTTAAAAAAAGGGCACAAAGCATGCCCCAAAGCAAACCAGGAGCACCATCTAGTGGGGTAAATAGGGGAAGGAAGGGGAAGACTTTCAGGATCACAGACACTGGTGGGGGGGGGGCGGGAGAGTAGGTGTGGATAATGGTCCCAAACTTTTGGTTTGGGGGGCATTCATTAGAATTTCAAGGGCCATGTCTGTATGCAGTCCTGGGCTGGTGATAAACCCTCTCACAGTCACCCAATTTGTCACCACAGCGCCATCTGCTGACAGGTTGACAGACCTCCACAGTGCCCCCTGCGTCTGTGCTGTGAGCTTGACGCGCCGGGGAACATTCCATATGCAGGGTGGCAGTGGCGATACACTTCTTCTCTGGTGACCTGGCCTTCACAACAGAGCTGCAGGCCTCTTCAGCAGGCTGGTCTTCTAAAATGCAACACAGGAGATTCCCACTATTAGAGCCGGCCAGAAAATTAGGGGGACTTCGGGGAGATGTGTGGAGTCATACTTTGAAAAACAGTACAGAGACTGACCACTGGATGGCAGTGATTCCAAACAAAATGCTTAGAAACAGTTAACGATATGTTACTCCAGACCTGTGTGCTGCGAGTTTCCTTCAGCATTGGCCTGAAGAGGCTCTGAGGTGCCCTCAGCAGTCTGGTCACTGTCCGCACTTTGCAGTTTCTAATGAGACAGGAAGCACAGGGTGCAGTGAATAAATAAAGAATAAGCCAATCACAGTCACATGAAAATACGAGCAAGAGGAATGACTGTTTAGGAAGGGGCTGGTTTACCGCGGGCAGAGAGGTGGGCCGGGTGAGCCTGGTATCCTGTGATGGGGCCTCTGCACTGTGGTCCTCCGGCCTGGAGGGGGCGATCTGCGGACCGTTGTTCTGCTGTCTGAGCTCCAGCACTGTTGTCACCAACTGCGGCTCCCTTTTGGGAGAGAATGGGACTTGGGCTGTGCTTTCGAAGACCGCTGGTGGGCTCGCTTCCCTTTGCCCCCCACCGTCCACACAGCTGCTGAATTCCTGCCCTGGATCTCCATCCAGCTGAGCCAGCTGAGCCGTCTGGTCCACCTAGGGGTAACCATTCAGGACAGATGCAAAGGATTATGGGTATTCATATGTGGAAATTCTGACTTGTATTACATTGCTATTGAACCTTGCCATTTCGAATCAAATATAGCCAAAAAATGAAGGAATATACTCTACTACTACAAGTAAATTAAGTAAATAAATAAATAAATAAATAAATAAAATCACAACCCTTTTGGGGTTGTATTGTCCTCGAACAACACAGGTAAAACTATGGAAAAATTCAAGAAATATGTCATGGATCAAATGAAAACTTGGAGATAAGCATAACCTCAGTATGGAAAAATACAGGACAATAGTACCACCTAACCACACCCAACAGGAAAACCTGTTAGGACTTTTGGACTGTTCAATTCTTGAACACACAGGCAGATCATTTGAACAAAAGTTATGGGAAGTTGAATCCTGCTATTTTTGTGCATTACTTTAATGTTTCTTGTCACTGAACACCATTCACCAAAGGTTTTTCGGTCACACTGTGCAATTCAACGAACAACAAAGTGCGATACTTTTTACAATGTGGAATATTCTTCTTCATTTTAGTCTGCCCAAACTTCTCTCTCCATTATGTTCATCTGCTGTTGTATAACGTGCACTGTCATGTCCATGTTCGTACCCTGAGCCTGGAGATGCGTGATTTCCTTCAGCTGTGCTCTCCTTGCTGTATAGTTTGAATGACGAAGTTCAGCTGAAGTTCAAGATACACATCCCAGAACTAAGAACATCTCTGAATCCACACTCTATGCACAAAGCTTGAGGAACCTCATTTCAACTTGCTTTGAATGCTTTATTATGCTTGATCTAATCTAATAAATACTTTATGGTTTCAATTTAGTGTCGGTCACATGATCAGCCACACACATTGGTAAGTCTCACAGATTAATTGAGCTGCTGAGCCTCTGTGATGTTGAGGCGCCAAGACCAAGGAGCCGCAGATGTTAACGACTGCTTCTCTCATTCTGCATTTTCTGAAGGACAAAACCAGAATGTTCCCTTGCTCATTCAGAGATACAGTTTTTCATTCATTCGGGGAAGAGAAAGACGCAGTAACAGTCCATACATTCAGCTCTGTGCAATTAGACTCCCTCGACGACTGAAGAAATATGTAGCAAAGCAAAGAGTTACTGTGATGAATGTGAAGGTGGCTATAAATAGGTCATCAGGACCGAAAAGCCATGAATGAAAGATTCAGGCAGCCGGGCGGACGGCCTTGTGAGGGCCTTTGTGCTCAGAGGGGTCCACTTCTTCTCAAGAGGGTCCGCTTGGCAGCATTTTGGATCCCAACAGAACAGGGACCTCCATTCAATTTCAGCCTTAATCAGACATTCCTGTGTCTCCCAAAGGCAAATTGTGCAAAGACAGAATCATCCCCTGTACCCTCATAAGACATCCCAAACCCTGAGCAGTCGGAATAAAACTCTTGCTTTGAAGAAATAAGTTGACTTATTTGCTGCGTTTTGAGTTCTGTGTTGTTTTTCGTACCAAATGCCTGTTTCATATGGATCATACTTGTGGAGGTGGCTGTTAATTTGCCACTGGCACAGATTGAGTACCAGCTTTAAAATGTATTAGCTAACTGTCTGTTTGTCTTCATAAACAGCTGTTCACACTGTTGGAAACATACACTAATGAAGCCAGAGTAGATAACTAAAAATAAAGGACATTTGCCACCTGGGTTCAAGACTGATTACTCTTTAAAGGAAATAGGTGTAGGAAGTAATACCTGGATGGAGCGCAGTGCTGCAGGTCTGGAAGCTTGTGAAGACACTGCCCTCTGGGGAGGGGTTTGGGTGGGGGAGTTCTCCTGGGCCTGGACGGGAGGAACCCTGGCCACAATGGCCTCCACGGTGGAGGTGAACCTGGGCGCCGGGAGTGACTGCTGCCTGAGGTAGCGCATGGGCCCAGGCTCGCGGGCGGAGCTGGCCGGCTCGGCCGACATGCTCCTCTCCAGCGGCCGGGGGAGCCGCAGCTGTGTCAGCACCGCCTCGCTGATGCTGAAGCGCTGGGCGTAGCGCTGCAACACGGCCTCCGCCTCCTCCGGCGTCCGGGCGTTCCGGTAGGTCTCGTGGAGCTCCCGCTCACGGCGCTCCCTAGACACCATGGTCGCAGTTTAGAGAGGAGAGCATGATCGGACACAGGGACCACAGTGGGGTTTGGTAGGAGACCACATACAGAGAGAGAGACCATGGTGGGGTTTGACAGGAGACCACAAACAGAGATCAGAGAGAGAGAGAGAGAGCGAGAGAGACCACAGTGGGGATTGACAGGAGACCACATAGAGAGAGAGACCACAGTGGGGATTGACAGGAGACCACATAGAGAGAGAGACCACAGTGGGGATTGACAGGAGACCACATACAGAGAGAGACCACAGTGGGGTTTCGTAGGAGACTACAAACAGAGAGAGAGACCATGGTGGGATTTTGACAGGAGATCACAAATGTAGACAGATAACAGACCACAAGGGACTGAAGTAGGTTATATCTATACCAGAGGAGCAGAACAGAATACCAGAAGATGGCATAGAACATAGAACAAATGAAAACAGGAACTCATACAAGCAGCCATGAAAATCACAGCAGTCATCATCATCAACATACTTCTCTTCAACTATCTCCTTGTAGGTCTTGAAGCTCTTCCTTCGCTGAGCCAAATCGTTGTCGTCGCTCATCAACTTCTCCATTGTCTTCCTCTCCTCCTCCTTCTTGATTAGGTCCTGGGAGATGCTCCTCCTGCGGCTTTTCCAGCGGGCCAGATCCTGATTTTCCAGACCACAGGACCACATCACCATGGATGCAACATCAGCATCATGAGGATACTGCATCATCATCACCATCGATACAACACAGACGAAGATGGTGACATTTAAAATGAGGGAAGCACAGTATCAACAGCTGGCAGTATCACCAAAAATAGTCTATTTTTCTTATTTTAAACAGTCAGTTACTTCAACGAAAATTCTACTCTTCTTTCTGTTTGTAAGAAATAACCTATTATTCGGTCACACCAGCACGGTTCCTTCTCAAACGATTTGACCATTTTGAACAGACACAGCTTAGTTAGCAAGCTAACAACCAAACAAGTCCACTAAAAAACACAGAACGTTCACAGAAAATGAAAAAAAAAATTACACAGAAACTCAATGATAACTTTATTTATGAATGCCAAAGGCGAAAAATGACGAGCAAAACAAACTGACACTCTGGGTTGGAACGAGACGCTTAGGTGCCCATGAATGTGACAGAGTGAATGAAAACTATGAAAGAACACCACCAACAGCATGTAAAACTTACCAGCCGTGATCATTAATGTTCTTAGTAGTTTTTCCATACAGAGAGGCCTGGCATGTCTAAAATATCTGAATGCAGGTCTAACTGCCCAGTCAAAGCTGCCTACACAATCACTATGTGCAAAGCTTCCTTGGGCTCCCAGTGAAGCAAGGGGTCCAGACGGATCCCGAAAACACGTAATCGAAGCATATTAACCAACAGGCTTCTGTCTATTCTCCTTTCAGAAAAAATGTACAAGAATTTTCCATAAACTTCCCATGAAGCACGGCATCAATGAGTGTCTATAGGCTGCATTCATCCGGGTTTTAGAGGGCTGTCAGAAGCACCTCCCGTGAAATGATCAGCTCTGTGGTTCAATCAGTAAGATAGATGACACTTTGAATTGCAAATAAAATTAATTTACATCCATAAATTGACTAAATACTTCTGGCAATTTTACGGGGGAGGCCGCTCGTCCCGTGTAGGGCAACATCAGCATCAGCATCCGACGCTTCACTCTCTCCATCACAGGTCTTACACAAAACGCCAAGCACCCACAAAACAGTACATCTAAGGAGCCGCATTATCCAGAACATCCCAATCATGGAAGGACGAGAAATATTTACAACATAGGTTAAGTCTGAATTCCATTATCTCATCCATACATCTAAAGCTTTTGGAAACATGAGGTTTTCTTGAGATGCTAAAAAGCGAAGCCACTCTAAGGACACAAACATAAGCCTGCATGTATGAGGGTGAAGGCCAGCTGCAGTACTCACAGTCTGCCAGTGGGTGTCCTCCTCGCGGAGCTGGTTATATTGGTTGTGTAGGTACTCGTGGCGAGCCGGGCTGTGTGGCTGCAGGAAGACGTCCTCGTCGCAGCGCATGTCGATCAGGCTCATGCTCCTGGACACAGGAGAGAGGCAATACAGTCGCCATTAAACCAGCCGGGTGGGAATGAGGCCTCGTCCCATACACGATGGAGCACTATGACGGGGGGGGGGGGGGGGGGGGGGGGGGGGGGGGTCCCCCGTCCTGGGTTAGCCCCTG